TTTACGTACTTTCACTCAGCCACCTCTTTTGCCTTATTTTGCTAGATTGTATAACATAAAAAAATGTGCAACTGACTAGTCTTTTCAAATGACTAGGAATAACAGTATTTATTATTTTATAAATATCCATACATATATGTAACTAAAGATAACGTTGAGTGAGCTTGTTTTTCTAAAAATGTATGTATGTAGAAAGTCAACGTTGAACATCTGACAGTTCATACGATGCCGTAAAAGTGAAATGTTCTTCAGCGAATGTATTGATGTAGGCATTAATAAAAAAACTGGTTTTTGAACTATTTCTTTAGAATTATTTATACAATTTTACTTTCTTCACTTTGTATACTCGTAGCTCTAACCACGACTGTCAGATGAATTAGCAAAACTGAAACTGTGGCTAAGTGTTTGGTCGAGCTATTGAGTAGTCTAACCACTACTCGACCACGGCGGCCGCCAAATAGCTAAGAAGAAGAAATATGCAAAATTCTACCTCATTGACATACAAAAGTAGGGGAAACTAGTGTTTATAGTATATATAGCATTTTCAGTTTAAATGAAACTTTTTTCAAATTAAATGAAACTTTCTTTTAAGAATGTTTCATTTAATTTTAAAAAAGTTTCATTTAATTTGAATAAAGTTTCTTTGAATCTGAAAAAGGTTTCTTTCAATTTGAAAATGGTTTCGCTTAATCTGAAAACGGTTTTATTCAATTTGAAAATGGTTTCGCTTAATCTGAAAACGGTTTCATTTAAACTGAAAATGCTATAAGAAAGCGGGAAAAAACAAACTAGTAATGTTTTGAAAATAAAACATTAGTTTTACTTGCTGGGAATAGCACATAAAGTGCTATCAACATCGGGCGTATTATCGCACACTGAGTGATTTATGAACAATGGGGTAATAAAGCAATTGCATTGTTTGAACATATGTATATATATGTACATATACTTCCACCGGTTTAGGAAAATAATTTCTATCAAAAAGAGGTGAAATACTTATCGAACACATTTGTGATATTAAGAAAGCTAACCCTCTTTTAGGTTAATGATAGTTTTGTTAACAAATATGGTATATATTCATATACATCTGTGTTCGTATGGAACAGTAGCTTATGTCGAAAGGGTGGCTTTAGTAAAATGCGGCATTCGCAGCATACGATTGCAATAGTTCCGATACTAGCAAGTCAATATTCTTATTAAGTCTCAGCAAAAAATTTATTGTCGCTACTATTCAATACGAACACAGACATATATGTACATTAGGTCGGGTCAAATTGAGATATGGGGGATTTTTTCGACTATGCAGGTAGGGGGTTGGAGTATTCTACGCGAAATTTTGAGAGAATTTGGCGAAGAAGCCGTGGGTGTAAAATCAATTTCGAGCCAGGGAAAAAATTAAGAAATAATAGGTTATTGGTCTTTTTATTTTTTCTATTTGCATTAAAGCCTTAAAAGTCCTAAAAAGCTGTGAATAAAATATGAACGGAAAAGAAAGTTACTTATTCGCCATATTCGTACATGGCGTATGAGTAACATTTGTCCTGCTCATACTATTTCATACAAAAAATTATTCGCAACTTTTTTATTTATCGATCGATTTTCTTCAATAGTATCTTAGTTTTTTTTTGTAAAAGAGCAGGCTTGAATACGAATGATAAAAATCTGTTACTTATTAATTTTTTTTTCCTGTTAAAGTTGGAATATTTTTGTTTTAAGGAAATGGTAAGTCCAGAAATGTGTTTTATTCAAAAATTTCTTACAAGACTACAGCAAAAAAAAAACGTTGCTAAGAAAAAACATACATACATACCTACATACATATACATATTCGCAATTTGGCAAGCTCAAAATTGATTTTAGACAAATGTTTTCTTCGGAAAACTTGCTTCGAATTTCATGTACAATGCTCCTATGCCATAACCACATAGGCAAAAAAAATACCCATCCTAATGTATGTAAATGTTTGTTTTCGAGCGCTAATAATAAAGACAATCCAATATCTGTAGATATCTTAATGTTTGCTCTAAATAAAATAAAAACGTTACAATTAAAAGTGTTGACATTATAATAAAAGCAAACACAGCAATCAAGTCAACGTTTCCATTTTACATTTTTTGCTGTTGTGTCTTTATCTGAATCACCGTTAATATATATTTACAAATTGTATGCACATTCACAGATGCAAACGTGCAAACATGCATACATATACATATTTCTGTAGGTAGAGATTCACTTTCCAGTGCAGTTGCTAACAAAATCATTAAAAACGAAGTTCGACCTACATATATTCTTATTTACATGTGAATGTACTTACATACATACGTGTTTGTGTGCATGTGCATACAAACGTGAAATTTGAAGCGATTAAGAAAGAGAGCGAGTTGCTAAAGCAAAATGCAAAGAACTTTTTGAAGGCATGAGTAGAGTTGCCGCTGCGATGAGAATTTCACAAACCCACAAACTAAATTTTGTTTTTGGCCGGTAAATGAGTTGAAAGTTAATCTTAATTTGTGCACCAGAAAATATATTATTTAAACTTATAATAAATTTTCAGCTGAGCTAAAATGGTGCCTTATAAATCGCAAACGATCTTCAAAGGTGACACAACTCAAAATTAAAAGTTCGTCAGAAAATGCGAAAAACTATTTCTTAGCACATGCTAATCATATGGGCAAGGAAGACTTTGTCTTAGGTTTTTTTCACCAAATTATAACAAAAATTTTGCTCCAGCTTTTCCTGAAAGGTAAATAAAAGCGCTGTACACAATTTTAGTGAATAATTTCAAAAATGCCAAATTTAGAGTTGTGTCACTTTTGAAGATCGTATGCGATATGGTAGTTGACAGGGGCAGTGCTGTATTTCAAATTACTCCGCTGCAAATTCAATAAGTCACCGATTTATTAAACTGCCCTCGGCAATTGACAAATTTACATCAAACTAGGCCAATGATACGCAGAGAGAGTTTTTACTCTATACGCGCCTATACAAAATGTATGGAAAGTTTAAAAGAGCTTTGCCCGCGGGCAAGGCGGTGGCCATCAGTGAACTAGGCACAGCGCCAAAAGTGGGCACTATAATTTTGTTCGCACCAGCGGATCTTCTACGCTTTGCTGAATAAGGTTGCAAATGCATATTCTTGGGGGTGATTCAACATAGTTACAAGCTGGCTTGAGAATGTGCTACATAAGTACATATTTTTTTATTTTGAGAGAAGTAGAATTTTAATTATTTCATCTTCTCGGCTTTTTTATGTTTGGCATCCCTATACACAATAATTCCCTGTAGGAATTTTTATACTTCCTTTAGGCATACATATAGTAATGCTGTGGGTAAAGGGCTTATGGCCATATTCTTACAAAAGGGCCTATCGGACTTCTCTCTGAAAAAATATTCGCTCTCAGAAACGCTACCGAAAAAGTCTTACACAATGTCGTAAGAGTCGTAATTTCTTAACGGTTTAAATGGTTTTAAGGGATTCGCATGGTACAATAACAGCTAATCAGCTTAAAATTCATTTGGCGTGATTGCAAAACCTTATTTTACATTGAAAAATTCTACTACTTTATGACACTACGACGCTTACGACATCTTGAGAATACGCTTAATGTCTTAAAAAGACACGAAAGTTATGAACTTTTAGGAATATAACACGGGCCGAACAATTAAACGAAAATATTTATCATAAACCAGAGTACACTTTTCCGAAGGTTCTCGACGTGTCGAATCCAAATTTAGGGTCATAACTGCTATTGCGGCTAAGGTTTCCGAGATCTTTTAACTTACCGTTGATTTTTTACATTTTTTTGTTGGCATTGTTAAAAATCAACGGTATTTTGTAGCCACTTGAAACTTGCATTTTATTGTACTAAATTTGCACGGGCTTCAAAACTGCATACCTGAAAAAAAAATATTACTAACTTATGCCCTGCAGGTCATTAGGATAGCACACCCCTTTGTTGACATGTTTTTTTTTTTAATTTGTATAAACTTTTGAAATCGGATTTACACGTAGAATATGCTACATTTTTATAAAAAATTAATGAATATAAAACAAGCAAAAGGAAAACTGCACATTCTGGGAGTGTATGTATTTGATATTGCCGGGCAATCGCTTACAAATAATTTAAATTTTCATAATCACTAAAATCCATGATTTTTTTTTTTAAATCAAAATTCTAGATTCTCTAATACAGGGTTAAGTATTTTTTCAGTCAAAAATTCTTTTTTTTAAGCTGGCTTCCGACTGCCATTGGATAATACACTATATTTGTGCATTTGTATTAGCCTACATGTTATATAACATTATTGCTTACTTATTAGGGTGGTCATGAAAAATATCAACATCAAAATTTTTTTATGTGGCACCCGTTTATTTTGTTTTAACAACGTAAAAAATAAAGACATCTACAAAAATGTCAAACAAATTTTTAGGGGTCGTTAACAGGGTTTGAGAAAATTTTAATTTTTTTTGAAATCACAAAAATTTTACAAAAAATTTACTTTGACCAGCCATAACTCAACATATTGAAACTTATTTATATAAATATATAACTGGTCATGAACAAAATATTTATAGTTTTTTGCAAGTTTTACAAAAAAAAAATATTTTTTTCAAACCCAGGTAGCGACCGTTAAATTTTTTTTTAAATTTTGAAATTTTCGTGAATGTCTTTATTTTGCACGTGGAACAAAATAAAGGGGTGCCCCATTATTTTGTTATTTTAGGGACCACCCTAATGCATATACATACATAAATACGAAATGCGTCAGCAATAATGATTTTGGTCAGCACACTCACAGCGCATTCTCTTTAGCAACCGTCATTCGGTCGGCATCATTCAAACTACATACATACATACATATTTATGTACATGCATAAATACATAGATGCATTCTTATATACAATTTTGTAATATTCATCTACAGCGCATTGCGAAATGATTTCCTACTGTGCCACTTTATTTAGGGGGCAACCACTGTGTCCGATAACAGCCGGTCGCCAACAAAGTCTCGCGCTCGCGCATTTCACGGCAACTCACTCAGCAGCAGCAGTCAACAAACAAAAAGCAACAGTCAACAGTCAACAATCAAGAGACAAGAGACAAGTTCAGTTGAAACTTTAACATACATACTTGACGGCGACGACGGCTTTTAGCATCGACTTTTTATATGAATGCAATAGTGAGTTCCGCATTAGTTTCTAAAGAAACGTGTAGCCAAGCAATTCAAACGAGTTCTTGAGGCGCAGCTTAAAAGTACAGAATACCATTTTGGTTAAGTTTGGGTACTACAGTGTCGAGACGAGTGGAATTGTGGTGAAAAAAGTGGAATAAAAAAAAACGAAAGCCAAAAAGCAAGTCAACTACATAACTTAAAGCAGTTGCAGAGGAATTCATGTGTGTAAACGACGGCTGGCGTATAGATTTTGTTTTCAATGACAGCACAACAGTGAAACGAAATTACACAAAATTACGCTACGCTTCCATGGCATAATAAACTTAAAAGTGTTTATTTACAGAAAGTGAGAGAAAATTGCTTTGCACATAAGTATAGTTGCGCATTTTTAAGAAAATAAAAAACGTATCTTCTCGCAGAAAAAAAAAAACCTAATACATATTTTATTTGCAATTCTTTCTATGTGACAAAGTGAAATCATTATTTTGCAATTCAACGCAAAAGCTGAAAGTCAAACAAAGCAAACAATTAAGGCGAATTTAATGTGTGGCAAAGCAGAAAATCAGAGCAAAGCATAAATGTAGATAAAAACACAAAGGAGATATGCTCATATGTACAACATATGTATTGATTTAAGAAAACAAAAACAATTAAAAAGTTCTTAATAACCAAAACAAAAGCGAAAAAAAATCGATTACCACCGTGAAAGTGAAAAGCACATCGAAAAACGGCAAAACATATAGAAGCTTAATCGAGCACGTTTAACAATTTAATTTTTTATGCTCCAATAGCCAAGTGTGCACGCGCTTGAAGTACTTACATAAATACATAAGTACTTATTTATGCATACATATATACATACATACATAGCCACATTAAAAATTTTCAACACGCGATTTACGAACCAAAAGCGCAAGTACCTTTGAGCATACTCGTATATACTCGTCCGTATATATCGACTATTTTGCACATAAACGCCATATAGGTACGCTTAACTATCAAAATGTCCAGCATACCAAATATCACAGATGCACAGGAAACTGCCTTGAAGCAGGTGAGTTAATCGATTAATTGGCTAGCCGTAATACGTACTTAGCTGCAAGTAGTTTATTAGCTAAATAGTTTTTACTTAATGACTTTGTACTTGGTGCTTTAAAATTACTATAGCTCGCGCGAGTACTTGGCACATACTTGTGTTCAATGTTACATTTACAACACTTGTTTGGGGCTACATATGTACTGGACAGACCCAGCAGGAAAGCGATTGGTTACAAAATAAGGCATGGGTAGTTGGGGTTAAAATTCGATTTTTGCCTGAATTCGAACATTTTCTAAGCACTCGATTATTCGATTCGAAATTCGGCGAGGTAAATTCGATTTATTCGATTTTTTTCTTATTTCTAACAAATATTTTTTTTATCCAAAATTTAAAAGTTTGTATGTAAAAGTGATAACTCAAACCAAAAGTAATTCGTTTTTTATCTCTATAATCTATTTCTGCCTTGAAACAAAATATAAAGACAGTAGGGCATATTCATAGTCGATATAAAGTCGACTCTAAAGATAGTTGCAGCTTTATTGACAAATATTCCATTGAAACTTATGTCAAAAAGCTGCCACTAACTTTAACGTCAAGTTTTCATAGCCCCAATATATCAATAAATTAAATTAAAGTTAACTGGATTCATTATCCGTGTCGGTTAAGTTGACAGTACCACCAGAAGCGTAAGATTAGAATGGGCTGAAGTCTCTAAAGAAAGAAAAATAATCACTTCAAAATATAGCAAATGTAACACTTTAATTATCTCTTCTTTTCGATGGCGCTATAACCTCTAACTGGTCTCTCAGAGGAGGCCTTTCTCTTCCTCTGTTACCAACAGAGTTTTTTTTCATACATACGAGATGACCAAGCCAGCATAGCCGCTGCATTTAAATTCGCTGCACTATGTTTATGTCGTTGTAAAGCTCATACAGCTCATCGTTCCTTCGTCTGTGGTAAAGGCTCGTAAATCCTCCACAGAAACATTCTCTTGAAACCTCCAAGAGCCGCCCCAACAGAGTCTTTAGTGGTCTATGCTTCTGCGTCATACACCAGCACAGGCATGATGAGGGACTTATAGAGCGTGATTTTTGTACGACGAGAGAGGAGGACTTTACTGCTCAATTGCCTACTCAATCCAAAGTAACAAGAGTGATTCCCTTTTGGATTTTAAGGCTGACATTTTATTGGAGCTATTTCTGGTTCCTAAATAAACGAAGCCGTCTGAGTTTTGTCAATGGTGACGTGAGTGCGAAGACGCTTATGCTCTGACTCTTTGTCTTCTTTATCTAATTCCGATGGTATCGATTTCGTCGCCACACGCCAGCAATTCTACGCTCTTGTAAAAAAAAAGTATACCTGGGCGTTTCAGTTCCGCGGCTCTTATTATCTTTTCCAACATCAGATTATCACACGAAAGCGAGTCACCTTGTCTGAAACCTTGCTTGGTATCAAACGGCTCGGAGATGTCCTTCCCAATTCTGACCTGATGCGGCGTCGCATTTCTGTCGTCAGGCATACGTTCATCTGGCCGTACTCTGCATAAGAGCTGATAGATGCGTCTTATCGACTCCTCGTCGCCATACCTAAATAGCTCAGCGGACGAGCCCATCAGCTACAGGAGCCTTGTTGTTTTTTAGCCGGTGAAACATCGACTGAGAGCCCGGGTTTGTCTTCTCCGCAATTTTCAGCGCTGCTACCATTCAGTAGGGGGGAAAAGTGTCATCTCCATAATTTAAGAACCTTATGGACAACGCTAACTATCGAATCGAAAAATTGTCTCTAACCTCATTTTATGCGAGGAAACTTCTACTCCTACTTTTCCTTCAAGTTTGGAGCCGTTGTATAAAAGTTGATGGCATTAGTGAGAGCATAAAATAGTTCGCACTGGTGGGTTTCCAGATAGGCGCTGGCTTTCCTTGGATAGCCAGATCTCGCAACATCGCATTTAGGTTATATGTGGGTGTGAAGAAAAGGGCTCCTTATACACAATTCTTTGTATCCTTTGCAGACTTCTGAGAGCTGTTGATTTTATGATATAGAGTAAGACTCCGTAGAGTATAATTTGATGGACAATTTCCGTATATATCCAGTATGTCTTCCTCGGAAATAGTCTCCAAAATATGCCTATGGCTTTTTTGCCAAGTGAAAAGTTCCGCTTCGGCTTTTTTAATGCGCTACATTTGCCTTCTTTTTGAGAAAAATAGTCAGGTACCATCTATTTAGACTTCGGGTGCACGTGAAGTGGCACTTTGTTCCGGTTATTAAAGAAAACTTTTTACTTTTTTTGTGTTTATTGATTCTTCCGACAAAAATGGAATAACCCCGAAAACATTACTAAATTTAATTATAGATGTCAAAAATTCATACTAAAATACATCAACATATATTAAAATCCTTGCTTGCATAATATAAACACCCTATATAAATATGTATGTTTATTAGGGCGAGTCAATTTTTGTTTTTTACAATGCGCGCATAGCATAGGAGTATTCTACGTGTAATTCAACGCAAATTTTCCGAAGAAACCATGGGTCTAAACTCGATTTGGAGTTTGCCAAATTGCGAAAATAGGTTTCGAAGGAAAGGTGAAAAATTTTACTGCGGCGCCCTCTGGAGTAAGCTTTAAGAATAAGATAAGTGCAGAAATGGATACCCCATACCAAAAAACCCGTCATGGCATATTTTATATAAATTTAAAGCACTTCTTTAAGACACTACAGCAAAATGCTTCGAAGCCTATTTTCGCAATTTGACAAACTCCAAATTGTTTCACGACCTATGGTTTCTTTGACAAATTTGTTTAGAATTACACTTCGTCGCTATATGCACATAATCGAAAAAATCGAGCACACAAATTGAACCCCCCTAATATACAAGTATATATTTCACAAAGCGCATATTTAGCGATGTTAATGTAGATATTCTTTGTCTTTATTGCTTCGCAAATATAAAGGTATTGCATAATTAATTTAACTTTCATTTTTTTTCATTAAGATGCAGAAAATTAGAAGCCGGCACCGTCTATCGATTTTAAAGAGTTATGCAATTTTAGAGATTATCAATAGGTGAATACATATAAATTATATAGATTATGATGACTTTTAATAGAACTTTTAAAATGAACTGGTTAATTAAAATAGCTAAATATCAAAATTAAGCAGATCACTAAAAACTAGTTGATTGCTTATTTAATTTTCTTTATATTTATTAACACTCTTGGCAGCTTCCTGCTTATTAGGTAGATGATAATAAGCAAAAACTTTAAATGCGATCAATTCGAGGTCACATAATGGATATCAATTATTCCGGTTCTTCGTCTTTAGATGATTTTGATTTTTTAGTATTCTAAATATATACAAACGTTTAATGGAGACATAAATAGTATAATATGCATTGGATAGTTGCCGGAAACAAGTGTTAGGATGATGCATATATACACACGTACATACATACTTATGTAGGTGATATCACAAACAATTCTGGCTATACATATTTATGTATATAACTGGAGATCTCAGCCATTTTAAACCAGCCCATGAACATTTTGTCGCACAAAATTAATCATTGAATGGATAGATAGGATAGATAGGAACATAACTATATTGGCTAAGTCTTCCATACAAAATAAGCTAATAGCTTTATTTTTCTCGTCAAATAAAACACGCCTAATGTAAATAATCGCAAAGCTATTTTAAAGCATTTTTTACTATGGAAATTTTAATAAAAATTAATTCATACCACCTGGTACCACCTATTTTGTATGTAAATGCATATGTATGAATATTGTAATCCATATGTCAAACGTGTGTTATGTGAAAAATCTAGAGAATACGTAAATATTACAAATAGCTTGCATAAAATTAAGGTCCAAAGTACTTTCGCCAACTAATGAATAAGAAATATTGTATTGAGTATATTTTCTTGTTTGTACTCGTCGTTGAATTTTGAACTGTCGTAAGTCACACTGCATGTAAATATAGTATATAGACAAAATCACTTTTCTGAACATCGAAGGAACAGTGAAGTATTACACTATCAAATAAAACTAACGCTCGCATCTTATAGAGCAATCACTTACGAGTATTTAGTTCAATTAAAGTTGAAAATATGTATATATCGCACACCGTGTTCAAAAGAGTCACAACTCAAAATTTGGCATTTTTGAAATTATGCGCTAAAAATATACACAGAGCTTTTATTTATTTTTTAAAAACCTAAGGTAAAGTCGCCCTTGTCCATATGTGATTATCATGTGCTAAGTAATAGTTTTTCGCATTTGCTGACAAACGTATGATTTTGAGCTGTGACTCTTTTGAAGACGGTGCGCCATATGTAGTAATTTTTTGTTACTTAAAGGGTAGGTTTAATTATAAATTCGAATTTATTCAGAAACTATTGCTGGTGAGAAAACCAGCGGTTGTAAAAAATTGTGTAGTCGTGACCAAGCTATACTGAGAAAAAAATATATGATATTTGTTTCGAACATACATGTCTATGGCTGAGTGGAAGATCGACCTATCCCGGCCGTCGGTTCGAAAATGCCCTATCTCAGAAAACTTTTCAAAAACGCCCTACTTCAGAATTTTATTGAAAAACACTCTATCTCAATCTAATCTCTCTAATTTTGTTGAAGAACGCCCTATCTCAGGATTCGGTTCAAAAACGTCCTATCTCAAAAGAAAATACATTGGAAATAAGCTGAGATAGGGCGTTATTCAACCAAATTCTGAGGTAGGGTGTTTTTCAATCAAATTCTGAAGTAGGGCGTTCTTGAAAAGTTTTCTGAGATAGAACGATGTTGAAAAATTTTCTGAGATAGGGCGTTTTCGAAATTGCCGCCAACGGGTAATTTCTTACTTTTCAACAAACTTTTGTTTTAAATAAATAATCTATAATACATAGTCTCGGAAACTACTGAACGGATTTTGACGAGATTTTCTCTAATATACTCTGTATTGACTGTAGAGGGATCTTTTTTTACTTGGAATTTTTATAGGGTTGCCACTTGTAGA